TAAAATACCAACATGTTTATGTAAGCATACACAAATGAATCATGCCCTCAGTCTCTTTCAACTCCCTGTCCTATGGGAGTCATAGATGGCGCTTCATCCAGAGCTTAGCCTTCAATACCATTTTTGGTCCACAGATGCTAAAATCTGCCCCATGGGTCCCCAGTACAATTAAGCTAAAGTCCAATTCCTTAGCCTTGCATTCAAGACTCTTCCCCCTGCGGTACCATGGACCCCACCCCGGCCCTGGTCCTCATATCCCTAGGCCACCTACCAGCCAGGACTGCCAGGACAGCCCCTGCCTGCAGTGTCCCCCCCTCTTTAGGCCCCACATTTCCTCCTCATACTTCAGTGCCAGTTCTGGAAGCCTCCCAGATGCTCTCCCCCTCTGAGTTCCCACAAGCCTTCAGTTCTCACCCACACAGTCTGCCCTCTCCTACTTCCTCAGGTATGAGGTTCTGCACCCCTCCAATTGTATCCCCCACTCCACCCCGCCCCGCCAGACTGTGAGCTTTCTGAGAACCTGCTGGGCTCCTCCTCTCCATCTGCTCCAGGCAGGGTACCTAGAGCAGAGGCGGGCAGGGGCTGCTGAGTGGGGAGCTGAGGATGAAGGAGGGACCCCATGCAGGCACTGTGGGGAGCCCTGCAGGTGGTGAGCTGCCCTGAGTCAGTGCAGGAAGCTGGTGACAAGGTGGGGAGCCTGGCTGGCAGGGCCTGCAATGGGGCCCCAGACTACCACCTCTCTCTCTCTCTCTCTCTCTCTCTCTCTCTCTCTCTCTCTCTGTCTCTCTCTCATTTTTCTTACAAACTGCCCAAGCAGGGGTAGGGGGAAGGGCCTTCACAGAGATAAGATGGGCTGAGGATATTCCTGGTGACTGACACAGGGAAGTTGGAGAGGGATGGGATGGTGGAGGTTGGGGGATGGGAGGGGTGAGAGTGGATCCAAAGAGGGGAAGGTATAGGCAAAGGAGGGGAGGGAGTAGGTGGTGCTGTCCCAACTCTGCCACTTCCTGCTGTGTAACCTTGGCCAAGGCAATTCCACCTTTCTGGGCCTTGCTTTATATGCAGGGTAGAAGCTTGCCTTGTGGGCTAGTGAGAGAATCACATGGAAGGCAAGCACTTTCTTTCTCCTTTCATTCATTCACCCATCTTCCTCTCAAGTTCTTTAGGCACAGCAGGTGCATCTTAAATGTTGAACCTCTTCCCTTACTCCAGACTTTGGGGTGGCTCAAACCCCAACTCAGAAAAGGTGGAGCTGGAGGCTGAGACTAATACCACTGATTCCATAATCCGGGCTTAAGGTTTCTATGGGCTGAGAGATGGAAGAGGGTCCAGGGTAACTCCCTTCCTCACTAAACACCTGGACTGTGTTGTTGATGGGACAGTGACTGAAAAGGCAGGGATCAGAAAAGTTATATTTCTTTGGGTTAGGCCCAGAAGGCTTCCTGGAGGAAGGAGGAGCTATCTGCTTGGTCAGAAGGATGGGCTTCTCATTGAAGCCCACAGACTGGAGTGTGTATGTGTTGGTGGGGACAAGCGTGTGCTGGGCATGAGGAGGGCACTCTGGCAGAGACAGGAGGCTAGGGGAGGTCATAGCTGGTCCCCCTCTCATATTCCTCCAGGTGCATTGTGGCCAGCTGAGTGACAGTGAAGAGTGGAGCCTGCAAGCCGTGGAGAAGCATGTGAGTGAGGGTAGGGCTGAGGTAGGATGGGGGCTGCTGAAGGCCCTCATCATAGCCGGTGGGGAGATGATCTGGCCAGGGAGCTGGACAAGCAGTGCAGCATCTTTGGGCTGTATGACCTTGAGCAAGTCACTTAACCTCTCTGAACCTCAGTTTCACATCTGAAAATGAGGATAAGGATAGCACTGACCTGCTTATGGTACCGGTGAGATGAGGCAACACAAACACCTTGTCAATACTTAGGAAAGACCATGCCCTTCACGATAATGAGGCTCTTTCCTGGGATTTTACTCCCGTGAGTGCTAGAGACACTGAGAAACCTGACCCTGCCCTGTCTTGTAAGAGCCTGGGGGCAGGCGGGGGAGACAACCCTGTACTCAGCTGTTCAAGGGCGGAAGGATGCTCCTGGGGCAGTGGGAGCCCACAAGCGGGGTGGAGCGCTGAGGGCTGCGTTGTTTGGGACCAGGATGGGGATGGTGGGCTCCCCGCGACGGAGAACGGTTTGAGCAAGGGCGAGGGTCCCGACGCGGTGTGTGCGGTGAAGGTGGGACGAATGACTCGCTGACCGCCCTGCTCGCCCTGCTCGTCCCAGGCTCTGGTGGCCCTGCGAAGGGTGCAGGCTCTGCAGCCCCGGGGGCCTGGCGCCGCCTCGGCAGCAGTCCGGAACCCCCCGGCGGGGGTGGCGGGAGACCAGAAGGGCGGTGTGGCTCACACCGACCAGGACCAAAAGATCCTGCAGCTGTGCGGTAAGGACCCCGCCCAGCGGGTCTAACCTGGAAGGGAGGGGCCTCTTGGAGGGGGTGCGGTCTGGGTTGGGGAGCCAGGTGGCAATTGGAAGGGAGGTCCATGGGCTGGGCGGGCAGGTGGAGCACCTCTGGGGAAGTCTGCGAGCCTTCTCTCTGACCGGCGCGTCGCCACTGCAGGGGAACTCTACGACCTGGATGCCTCGTCCCTCCAGCTCAAAGTCCTCCAATACGTGAGTGCCCGTGCCTCTCCCCCTGTGATCCTCCAGGGACCTAGGTCCCAGTGAGCCCTCCTTCTCAGTTCAGATTCCGACGCCCTGCCCCTCCTCTCTCCTCCTTCTACCTGAGGAGCCGAGAGCTGGGGAGTGGGGGTGGCCCTAGATCCGCCGTCAGCCCCTCTCGGTCCCTGCATTTCAGCTGCAGCAGGAGACCCAGGCATCCCGCTGCTGCCTCCTGCTGGTGTCCGAGGATAATCTCCAGCTTTCCTGCAAGGTGAGGGCCCAGGTCCACTATGGGGCTGGGGGGGGTGGGGCTCAGGTCGCCGAGGGGAACAGCCTTGCCCACCCTTTAACTGCCCCCACCCCCACCCCCGCTCTGCCGCTCAGGTAATCGGAGATAAAGTGCTGGAGGAAGAAACCAGCTTTCCGGTGAGTCTCGCGAACGTCCTCTGTATTGGATTCTGTGGGAGCAGTTAAGGCCAGCTACGCACTCCAGAGATCTGCCCAGAGAGACTGGGGTCTCTACTAGAATCTCTTGGAATCTGATGGAATTATCTGGATCTTGGGATCTATTAAGAAATGTTATAAGAGGTCACGATTTTCATGAACAGGATCCATTAGGAGAGCTCTCTTACAATCTATAGAAAGGCTTACTTGGGGCCAGTTCACTTCTGTTGGAACATTTCTGGATTTGGCTCTCTCAGGATCTTTGAGATCAATGAGAATCCTTGGGGTTTGCTTTTCTCTCTCCTAATTAGGGAAGACCCTAAAGTCATCCAAAGGGGATTCTAGTCAAGAGCAGACCCTCACCCCACCCCACCCTCCACCCCCGCCCCCCAGTGTTGACTCTACCCACCATTTGGACTTACTGAAGAAGGTGTCTGGAAGGTCTGGAAACTTCCAGACTTGGGAGGGGGGTTGAGTCTGAGGTCACCTGACCTTAGAGAGAACTAGGCCCTGGCTCAGCCTCTCTTCACTCTCCAGTTGACGACAGGACGCCTGGGCCAGGTGGTGGAAGATAAGAAGTCTATCCAGCTGAAGGATCTCACCTCGGTAAGCCATGGCCTGGCTGGACCAGGGCAGGCTGGGACAGGGTCTCTGGGACAAGGCAGCCTGGGAATGGGGGAAACAAGCCCCAGGGACCTTCTCCCAACCCATACCCATGTCCTAGGGTTTCCCATCTCACAGAGGTCCCTTAGAACTGCCTGTTGCAGAGTGTGGTGGAGGGCTAGGGGAAGGAAGCATGGTCCCTCCCTCCTTCCCTGCCTTGACACACCTCCCCCTTTGCAGGAGGATGTGCAACAGCTGCAAAGCATGTTGGGCTGTGAGCTGCAGGCGATGCTCTGCGTTCCTGTCATCAGCCGGGCCACTGACCAGGTGGTGGCCTTGGCCTGCGCCTTCAACAAGCTCGGAGGAGACTTGTGAGTCTTGGTGGGGTGAAGTGGATCAGAAGCTGAAAGACTGGGCAGGGCTCTCTACTAGGGTAACAGGGAAGGGCACCAGGCAGGGGATACTGCCCCAGCAGTGGTGGGTCAAATGGTTTGTTGCTGCAAGAGACTATGGGATTGTGAAGGTGCCAGACCCTTGCAGCTGCTGGCTGGGGTGCAGGTAATTGTTGACTCTCCATCACCCATTTTGGCTTATTTTAAATCACGTTGAGGTCCAAATGAGTTCCCCTTCTGTCTGCCCACTGCCTCCAGTTTGGGCTATCCACTGCTAGAGTACTGGTCTTTCCCCCACTTGCCATCACCCTGTTTTGGCTTTTCTGCTGGGAATTGGCTGACGGAGGGGTGGTAAGTTCTGGGATGGGTGAACTCCTTGGGACCCACAGAGCAGCAATCACACTGTGGGCAAGGGCTAAAGGGAATAGGCTGGGGGGCTGGGCTAAGCTAAGGGGCTTTAGAGACACTGATAGGGCAGCTATAAGAATCATTTGAAACGGAGGGGCAGGGCAGAGTCAGGTAAAGAGGCTTAGGAAGCATTTTGCAAGAACTGAGGTCAGATTGGGGTCTAAAAGTAGTATCACAAATAGATTTGGTGTTCTACTCCAACTCATTACTTGGTGGTAGCTGCCTGAAACAGTGGGTTGAGAATGAATATTAGTTTAGTGAGAAACAATGCTGTGATTGATTAGCCATGTCTATCCTGGGTGCAGGTTCAGTATGTGAATGCTGCCAGAGTTGGTCCAGATGGTCTAGCAGTTTGTGCCTGGATCATATAGGGAGGGAGAAACAGGCAGGTGAGGGGTGGGTCCTGATTCTGGGATGCAGAGAGATACTGACAAAGAGCTTGGCCCCTGGGGCTCAAGCAAGCAGACTGGGTTTGAGGGCCTGAAGGTCCTGCAGAAAGTGGAGACCGGGATGTTGGGACTATAGAGATGTCAGAAGCACAGGGACAGAGTCTGCATAGGTGGGGCAGAGATATGAAAGTCATAGACCTGAGTAGCAGGACCCGCCAGCACAGAGCTCTGTAGGCAGTTGGACAGGCCTGGAGAAGTGAAGACAGAGATGAAGTAGAACTTGCTGAGGCAGGGAGGATGTGGATCTGTGTCATCTGTGGTTGGTATCCTAGCGGTGGGAGCATTTACACCATTCAATAAACACAAGTTGGGCACCTACTGTATCCAGCCCTGCATTGGTCAGGTGGCCCCGGAAAGGCCTTTGGGGAGGGGAGTACAGAGGGAAGGGGCTCATTAGGGGCTGCTGTCTGTGAGACTGGGTTCTGAGGTGGCCCTAAACCTGGAGGAAAGGTGGTGTCAGAAGGGAAATGAGATGGGGCCTTGGTGACAACTTTGTGGCCATCTCTGGGTCCCACATATTTCAGGGAGTGAGTGCTGAATGATTGCATGAGCCAAGGTGGGGTTCAGCTCAGAGCAGTGACTGCGGACAAGCTGCCTGGAGCCCAGAGAACAGGGACTCCAGAGTCCCTTGAGCCGGGCGTGTGATGGGGCTGGTGGCCAGGGCAGAGGTAGAGTATAGTTAAAACATTCAGCAAACACCTCCCATATAACTCCCTGGTACCAGGCTCTGCACTGGGTGGTACAGTCATGGTCCCTGCCTTCAAGACTTGGAGTTTATTTTCAGGGCCAAGAGGGAGGAGGGTGGGAAAGGTATTCTAGGCAGAGAGAACAGTGTGGGGAAAAGCGTGAAGGTGTGAAAGAGACTGAGGTTTTCTCAGAATGATGAGGATCTTAGTATGGCTTAGTATGAGAGATACCCATAGATTAGGGGAGAGAGGTGAGCGGGACCAGACTGAGGGGCCTCAAATGTCATGGTACGGAAGGGGGAGACAGACACAGGCTGGTAGGGAAGGTGGGGAGACGGACACAGGCTGGTGGGGATGGGGATGTAGACCCAAATCATTGGGCAGCAAGCATGAGTGGGGGATATCCTGGCAGAGGAGCACCGAGACCAGCCATAAAATGGGAAGAAGCCTAGGCAGGGAAATCTGGGGGCAGAGAGAAGGTCAAGATCTTTGAGGTGTGCTCCCTGCTCTCCCTCACTCCGAAGACCCCCACACGGAGAGGCTAACCCATCTCCCCAGAGCAGGTCCTGCCCCAAGTTGGTCCATCCGGCCCCACAAAACTCCCTAGTGATGAGTCATTTGGTGGCCAGATTGAATAACCTCAAAAAGGATTTGGGGCTATCTTGTCAGCTGAGAGCTAGCTGTCTGAGTAAGGTGGGCACTACCCTCCTCACCAACACCTCAGGATTTATGGAGGCACCAGCTCAGGGCCTGCAGACTCAGGGTGAGTAGGACAGTGGCAGGAGCTGGACAAGACAGGGTACTTCGTGAGGCCAGAAGGGCCCCTGGGAAGAGCAGGAGAATATCCACCTCTGGCCTGGGCAAGTCTCTAGTCGGAGAGAAGAGACCCAGCCTCAGTCTGGAAAAATCCGAAGTCAGAGGATGGAGACATGGCTCTGGCTTCAATCAACAATAGTCTGAGGAGGATTAGAGTCCTCCCCTCAGGGAGCCCCAAGTCTGAGGGGGAAGCTGTCCCAGCTGCCTGTGCAGGGAACAGCCCCAGTAGAGGGGAGTGATGGTTAGCTACTGCGTCTCTGAGTGGGCTTCCTGGAGAAATGGAAGTAAGGAGAAACAGGGAGAAGTCCATCGTCCACTGCCTCTCCAGTGACCTCTGCCCTCTGCCCCAGGTTCACGGACCAGGATGAGCATGTGATCCAGCACTGCTTCCACTACACTAGCACGGTGCTCACCAGCACCCTGGCCTTCCAGAAAGAGCAAAAGCTCAAGTGTGAGTGCCAGGTGAGTGACCTTCTAGGAGCCACTCTTGGGGTTGAAGTCGCCCAGCTCTCAGCCCCAGAGCGTCATCCATAAGGGAAAAGCCCATGTCTTTCTGGACCCTTGGCAGGAAGGTTACCTAGTGCCCTGGAGGCTTCTTAAAGAGGTAGGTCGGTGGGTCCTCAGGACAGCGCCGCTGGCTGCAGGCACTGTATGTGACCGTCCTCTAGTGTTCAACTTGGGTACTACAGCAACATCTGGGCAGCTAGAGCAGAGGTGAATGAGCATCTGAGATTCAAGATTACTGGGCACCTTCACTGGGGCTATACTTTCACTCCTTCACTTGGTAGCCAAATGATATAACTAGACTGTGCCAGTCCCCAGCCTGTCCAGAGAGCCCTAAAGGGGGCATGAGAAGACCCTGGAGCTACTGGAAGCAGGGGGATGGAAGGTGTGACACCTCTGCAATGTGAACCCCTATGATTTTCATTTCCTCCATTCCAGGCTCTTCTCCAAGTGGCAAAGAACCTCTTTACTCACCTGGGTGAGTGAACTGGCCTCCATGCCTGGCTGTGGGTGGGAGCGGGGACTGGCATTTTGGGGAAGAGAGGTGGCAGGGCTTGGCCTCGGCATTCTAGCCTGGTCTCACCACTGCCCTCCATGCTTCTCCCTCCCACAGATGATGTCTCTGTCCTGCTCCAGGAGATCATCACAGAGGCCAGAAACCTCAGCAATGCTGAGATGTAAGTTAGTCTACCCCAGGGTAAGGTGAGAGAGGCCCCAGTCCTGGGTCCTCATCCCCTTCCTTCTTCGCTTCTCTTTTCCCCTCCACTGCCTTCTTGCGGGACGCTATCATGTTTTGTGTGATCCTTTATTTCATGCCTGTGACCCTCACTAATAACGTTCAATGATAGCAGGGGCAGGGCTCACTTTGTTGGCCCTGGGTCCCCAGCTCCTAACACAGTGCCTGGCACATAGTAGGCACTACAAGAAAAAAAATCATTGGGATTAACTAATGTCTGGAGTCAGCCAGCCCTCAGGAGGGTCTCTCATAATGGATAGCACCTTTCAGGCTTCAGAAATCTAGGCTTTGCCTAAAGTCGTGAGAAGTGGGGGTGGTCGGAGAGGGCTGTCAGGGACCTGTGGACCGTGGCTGTCTCCCCACAGCTGCTCCGTGTTCCTGCTGGATCAAAATGAGCTGGTGGCCAAGGTGTTCGACGGGGGCGTGGTGGATGACGAGGTGAGGCACGGGCGCGCGGAGGGAGTGTGTGGCCGTAGTCCTGGGGGCCGGGAGTCCACAAGGCGCCCAAGGAGGAGGAAGCGGGACAGTCCATGGTCCGTTCTGTGGCCGGCCGCTGACTTCCTCTCTACTCCATCACTGCCCTGGCAGAGCTACGAGATCCGCATCCCGGCTGACCAGGGCATTGCGGGCCACGTGGCAACCACCGGCCAGATCCTGAACATCCCGGACGCGTACGCTCATCCGCTTTTCTACCGTGGCGTGGACGACAGCACCGGCTTCCGCACGCGCAACATCCTCTGCTTCCCCATCAAGAACGAGAACCAGGGTGCGAGCTCCGGGCAGCTCCGGGAAGTGGGGCGGGCTCGGGCGGGGGCGGGGCCTGAGCAGGATGGGGCGGAGCCGAGCGGAGGGTCGGCGACCCTTCCCCACCGCCTTAGCATCCGGGAGCGGAAAGGACGGGACGGGACTACCCTGGCTGGGACGTCCCTTGAGGACACCCTGGGAGGGCGGACGCCGCCGGACACATCCAGCAGCCGGTCCTAGCCCCTCTCCGGCCCCCAGAGGTCATCGGTGTGGCCGAGCTGGTGAACAAGATTAACGGACCATGGTTCAGCAAGTTCGACGAGGACTTGGCAACCGCCTTCTCCATCTACTGTGGCATCAGCATAGCCCATGTGAGTGGGGAAAGGGCAGGGCCGGTGCAGGACCCTCTGTTCACCTTCACATTGGCTGTGTCCAGACGGGCCCTGTGAGTCTGAGCTCTGTTGCTGGGTTGCTGTGCAGCCTTCAGTTCCTGCTGGTCACCTCTAGCCTCAGATTCCCATCTGAAAATTGGGGATACTGTTTCCTATCTTGCCAAGTTAGCCTCCTGGGATCGGGGGAAACCCCAATTGTCATTAATACCCACCCTCTTTGCCAAGCAGCCTCAACCCGAGCCCCTGGTCAGCTTCTTTTTGGGAAATGTTGGGTCTCATTGTCCAGAGTTGGCTCTGAGCCAGGAATCCAACCACTAGGTTCCTGAGGCTAACCCATTCCTTGCGTCTCTGTCTCTGCTGTGGGACTCAGGCTCCATGACTGAAGACTGGGGCAGGCTCAGGAGGGGGTGCAAAGTGCCAGATCAAATGCTAAGAGGACCTGGGGAGGAGGGGCAAGGGGGGAAGGTATGGGTGAAAGTCGGAGGGGGGGTCCCTACTCTGGCTGGAGCTTGAAAGCTTAAACTAGAGCCAGCATGGGACAGGAACGGGGCGGGGGGGGGGGGCGCCTATATGATCCTTTTGTCCCAGTCCTGGGCATTCTGAGTTTCATAGCCACCTAGTTTGAGCCCCATCTTTCCCTCTCTCTCCTAGTCCCTCCTATACAAGAAAGTGAATGAGGCCCAGTATCGCAGCCACCTAGCCAATGAGATGATGATGTACCACATGAAGGTGAGGCCTGCACGGAGCTTCTGTCCTTCTTCTCAGGATCCCAGGGTCCCCTGCAGCCCACCTATTTCTTCCCTGCCTCCCAGTTCCCCGGGGTCCCAGGACCAGCCTGGGTTTTCTGATCACCCTTTCCTGAAGATAAGAAGATAGATTCAAAGCAATGCCTGGCCTCCTGCTCTCCTCTGGGGCAGCCTCTTCCAAGCAGTTTCCGGTTCAGCTCCAAGGCTGGCAGCAGGACCCATCCCGGGGAGGAATTTGGTTTGGCCAGGTGTTCCCCATATCCGGTGATGACTCCCACCTTGAGAATTACTGAAGGCTAGGAAGCTCACTCAGGGCCCTTCCCACAGCTCGCCTACATTCAGTGGTCATGCATGCTTCCATAGTCTGCTGATATTCTGTCTCATTCCCAGACCCTGTTTCAGAAAAGCTGTCGTGGGCTTTAGTTCAGACTGTGTGGTGGTCATTTTCCTCTTCCCTGTGTCCAAACCAAAAGGTCTCAGGCTCTGTGGATAGGGTCAAAGCTGTGATAGGAAGGATTAAGGTTAGACTCTGGGATGTTAGCCCCAAAAGAAAGAATCCTCAAGTTAGTGTCTATGAAAGGCTGGCATTGTTTGGTGGTGTCCCGAAGTGGTGTTTCTCTGTCTTTGCTGAGGACAGGCTGTCACAGACGAGGGCTGTCACAGGCGAGGAGGCACAGTAGGTGGGCTGTACCACAGTGGTCTCCTGCCAGTGATACCCCATGGATTGGAGTATCCATGCCCTGCCGTGGGTGCATTCTGGGCCAGGGCGCTCCCTCCCACTGTGGGATTTTGAGGGTGAGGACACTGGATGGGGGTGGAGGCCATCTTCTAATACTCTGGTTGCTCCCCTCTAGGTCTCTGATGATGAATACACCAAACTTCTCCATGATGGGATCCAGCCTGTGGCTGCCATTGACTCCAACTTTGCCAGTTTCACCTATACCCCTCGCTCTCTGCCCGAGGATGACACTTCCATGGTGAGCTGGCCCTCCCCCCATTTGACTGCATAGGTGGAGGGTGTACAGCCAGAGATTTAAGTTAGATGTGGATAGGAACTTCCTGGCAAGACAGAGTCATCACCAAAAGCTAGAGAGCCTCCCTCAGAGATGGAGTGGGCATGTGGTCTGCCGGTGTGGGCCACAGGGCCTGCCCAGGGCTCAGTGGCTGGACTGGGTGATCGCCAAGGGCTGCTCCAGAGCCCACAATGCCTGGGGCACGTGGCCTCAGGGTTGGCGCCTCCCTCCCTAGCTTTCTAAGATTTTGTGTGAGTTTGGTTCCAAGAGTTCTTCGGTCCCGTTTCTAAAAGTTCGTGGCTCCGAGAATGCTTGTCTGTACCATTTTATGGTTCTCCAGTTCAGATCTAAAGTTCTAAGATTCCAAAAGTTTGGAAGCTTCAAGAAGGGGCAAGGCAGGGGACCCATTTTGAAACAGACAGTCCCTCTGAATCCTCCCTTCTACTCTCTCCAGGCCATCCTGAGCATGCTGCAGGACATGAATTTCATCAATAACTACAAAATTGACTGCCCAACTCTGGCCCGGTGTGTGCCCCAGCCCTCCCCTCCACGTGCAGGCAGCCCTGGTCTTTGCCTCCCTCTGTCCTCTACTCTCACATCCATTGCCCCAGCATTCTGGGAAGGGGTCTCTGTGGACGACTAGGAGTGGCCCAGTCTGTGGGAGTGGAGAGGATCCGTGAGTGAGAGGCAATTCACAGGCACTGGGACCATGAGTAAAGGGAAGGAATGGGGCAAGGCACAGCCTGAAGGGCTTCCTGAAAGAGGAGAGCCTGAGGCCCCTCTGCTGCCCTCTCCCCTCCGCCAGGTTCTGTTTGATGGTGAAGAAGGGCTACCGGGATCCCCCCTACCACAACTGGATGCATGCCTTTTCTGTCTCCCACTTCTGCTACCTGCTCTACAAGAATCTGGAGCTTACCAACTACCTCGAGTGAGTGTCTGCACTGACCCCCAAGTCTGGCAGCTGTTACAGTCCCCTGCTTTGGGATAGGGGAGGCACCTAAGGATGACAGGAACTTTACATACACCACCTCCCACGATCCTCTTAATGGTTCTGAGGAAGGCTACATTGCCCCATTTTCTTTTTTTTTTTTTTTTTTTTTTTTTTTTTTTTTTTTTAATTTTTTTTTTTCAACGTTTATTTTTGGGACAGAGAGAGACAGAGCATGAACGGGCGAGGGGCAGAGAGAGAGGGAGACACAGAATCGGAAACAGGCTCCAGGCTCTGAGCCATCAGCCCAGAGCCCGACGCGGGGCTCGAACTCACGGACCGTGAGATCGTGACCTGGTTGAAGTCGGACGCTTAACCGACTGCGCCACCCAGGCGCCCCTCCATTGCCCCATTTTCCAGGTGGGACTTGCTCACAGTCACATGTCCCATACTCATGGAGCAGTGAGCCTGTCAAACTCCAAACCAGGGCTGCTTTCCCAGAAGGGGACCCAGGTGTCCCCGGCTCCTGTCTGGTGGCTCCTGGACATCTCATGTAGCCATTCTTCCTCTGGATGTGTGGAAGGGGCCTGATCTCCCTCTCCCCTCTGCCTCCCAACCAGGGACATCGAGATCTTCGCCTTGTTTATTTCCTGCATGTGTCATGACTTGGACCACAGAGGCACAAACAATTCCTTCCAGGTGGCCTCGGTAAGATTCTACCCTCCTCAGAGTGGGCACCCTCCTCAGGGCATCTGGGAGTCTCATTCCTCCAGCCTGAGGAGAGATGGGAGCTGGTGGGACCGGGAGCCGGTTTGGAGATGGGAGGAGGCTCTCCAAGGCTTTGCCTGGGCTCTGAGATGGGGGAATGGTGAGGGCAGGGAGGACAGGGCAATGCCTAGCCTAATATGGCAGGCACTTGCATCTGGATGTAAGGAGTAATGGAGATTTCCCGGGATTTTCCAGAAATCTGTGCTGGCTGCTCTCTACAGCTCCGAGGGCTCTGTCATGGAGGTACCACCATTCTGCCCAATATCCCTGTGCCCATCATCCTTTTAAGGCTGATGACTTACATAGTTAGACCATGACCCAGATCCTCCTGTTCCCAAGCCGTGCTCTCCAGACAGGCTGTGAGAGCTGTAGCCATACCCCAGGGCATGTCGGGCTCATTTTGCTGGATGGGCTTGGAGGGGTGCAGGTGTGGATGGGGATGTGGGTCAGCCTGAAGGTCCTGCCCGAGCCCAGGTTTGCACAGGGAGCACTTGTATTTAGCATGTCTCTCTTGGCATATCTGGGAACACCCTGTTCCACCCCCACTCCACCAGGCCTGGGATGGCTCCACCTCCCATCACACCCAGTTTTGCCTTAGGTTGTTTGAATTGTGTCTGCCCACCCCAGGATGGGAGCTTCTTGGGGCAGGGACAAAATCTGAGACCTCTCTGAATTCCCTGCACTTGGCATGGGGTCTGGCACAGAATAGGAGCTAAACCTGGGACAAGGTCACCTTGCCCCCTGCTGCCCGCTACAACATCCCTCTGGAGACTGCCCCTGCTTGCATACCCCTGGGAGATGAGGGGCTCACTCCCTCCCACGAGGCCTTGTGGCAGCCCCACTTCTGCCCTCTGCATTCTGTGCTCAGCCTGCTCTTTCTCTCAATGACAGCCCTTCAGCATCTGGAGACAAGGGCCTTGCCCTCACCTCATCACTGCCTTTCTTTGTCAGCAAACAAATGTTTGCTGCATGAATTAGTGTCTAGGACTCCAATGGATCATTTCAGAATCATCCCGGTTTGAGAAGTCCTCAGAGCTTGCCTTGTCATGTCCCTTCATGTGACAGCTGAGGGATCTGAAGCTCAGAGCCTGCGAGGACTTGCCCGGGGTCACACAGAGGGCTGAAACAGAACCCAGAAAGGGAACTAGGACCCCCGACTCCCCGTTTCTGCCTGCTCTGCTCACCTTGGGGGCTGGGGCTGCACCAGTCCTGCTCCCTCTCTTGGCATCAGTGGTCAGCAGAGCCCCCGGCCCCAGCTGGGCCCCCATCATTCCTCTCCCCACAGAGGCACCACTTCGCTCAGGCCATCGCCATCCTCAACACCCATGGTTGCAACATCTTTGACCACTTCTCCCGGAAGGTGATGGGGCCAGGGTTGGGGGTGAGGGAGTGGGAGCCCAGAGCTGGCCTGAGGCAGGAGAAGGAGCCGAGGGAGTGGGTGGGGGTGTCTGACAGGAGGCCCTGACACCTCCTCGCTCCCCTGCCCACCCTGGCCCAGGACTATCAGCGTATGCTGGACCTGATGCGGGACATCATCTTGGCCACCGATCTGGCCCACCACCTCCGCATCTTCAAGGACCTCCAGAAGATGGCCGAAGGTGCCTGTCTTTAAACCCCAGACCTTGGGGTTGGGAAAGGACCACCAAGAGGGGGATGTGCTGAGAGAGACCTACTCTCTCCAGCATCAACCCACCAAACCCAGGCAGATGCAGCACCGACCCTTTGGCTCCCACCCAGGGTGCCGAATTTCATGGACCACATAGGTGGGCCCTGGGGACCTTGCCCTCAGAGAGAGGGGGTGGGGCCTCCTCTCCTTGACCACACGCTCTCCCCAACAGTGGGTTATGACCGAACGAACAAGCAACACCATAGCCTCCTCCTCTGCCTCCTTATGACCTCCTGTGACCTCTCTGACCAGACCAAGGGCTGGAAGACTACGAGGAAGATCGCAGTAAGTGCTGCCTCTCCCTGGGAGGGTGCAGGCTGCACACCCCGCCAAGTTCTTTGTGGCTCCTGCATCTTGCTCACCCTCTCTGTGCTGAGCTCAGCCTGGCTATATTTTGGGGAGACAAACCTAGACCACCTCAGGGGTGACAGATGGGGAGATTCAGAAAGGGGCATGGACTCACCAGGGGTCACACAGCAAGTCAGTGGCTGGCGGAAGGTGGACCAGAACCCAGCCACTCCTCCCGATCTGGGCCATCCCCCTGCCAAACTGGGGATGGTGCGGACAGACCCTGAAGGAGGGCTGAGGGATGCCTCAGTTTGCCAGTTTGGGAATGGGCTGTAGAGGAGCTCAGGTGGACGGATTCCACACACAAGTTGTGATGAGAGTGTTGGCCTTTCAGGAGCTGATCTACAAAGAGTTCTTCTCCCAGGGAGACTTGGTAAGTGGGGAGTGACTGCTGGTGCCAGGTTGTGGGGAGAGGGATCCTGGGCTGGGGCTGGGAGGGGCTGGGTTAGCTTCATCCTGGTACCTGATGGAGGGAGGAGGGGACCAGGCCTGATGACTCGCTGCCCGCAGGAGAAGGCCATGGGCAACAGACCGATGGAGATGATGGACCGGGAGAAGGCCTACATACCTGAGCTGCAGATCAGCTTTATGGAGCATATCGCGATGCCTATTTACAAGTGAGAGAGCTCAGGGGGTCTGCTGGGGGTTGGGGGGGACAGGGCTGGCTGTGGCAGTCACAGCAGATGCAGGTGCTATCGCCTGTGGGCCCATAAACGGGCCCTTCACTTCATTTTCTCCTTGAGCGTCCAGTCCTATGCCTCACACTCTCGTGGAAGTTCTTCCTGCGGTAGAGCCCTAATCCTTCTTGCTACTCACAGTCTGATTTGTGACCCTGTCCATGTCCGTTTGCACCCCCAGGCTGCTGCAGGACCTGTTCCCCAAGGCGGCAGAGCTATATGAACGTGTGGCCTCTAACCGTGAGCACTGGACCAAAGTGTCTCACAAATTCACCATCCGCGGCCTCCCGAGCAACAACTCGCTGGACTTCCTGGATGAGGAGTACGAGGTGCCTCAGCTGGATGGCACTGGGGCCCCTGTCAATGGCTGTTTCAGCCTTGATGCTGAGTGAGCCCCCCCCTCCCCAGGACCCTTCCCTGCCCAGGCCTCCTCTCACAGCCCCCCACTGGCCTGGCCGGGTGCCCTGGGACCAGAGCCACGGGTCCTAGGTTCTAGACCAGGACTTACCATGTGACCCTGAACAAGTACCGACCTTTCTGGGCCTCAGCTTTCCTGTCTGTGTAATGGAAGCAAGACTTCCAGCCTCACCAAGATTTTGTCATTTGTCCTCTGAGAGCACAGGGGTGACTGATGAGCAGCGAGCCCTGCTCTGCACTTCTGACCACATCTTGGCAAATCCTCCCCAGCCACTCCTCTGAGGCAGCCTGGATGGTCTCTCCTGGGCCCCATTCCTGCCCCATTAGATCTGTGCCCTCTTCCCTCTCCAGGGTCCTCATGCAAAGAGAAGGTGGGACATCTGAATGAGCAGAGAATAGGTCTTAGAAACAGTCATTAGCTCTGCTGGACAACTAGAAATAGCCACGGGGCCACTGAAGGTGCCCCTTAGGATCGCCACATACTTATGGTGGGCACTGGGACCTGGGGAGCTGCCAGAGGGGCAGCTCAGTGCTTTGGGCAGAGGGGGGTCAGGGAGAAAGCAGGATAGGAATGGTGGGCAGGAAGGATCCCAGGGCTGGAAGACAGGCTCCAATTGAGTCAATAATTCTTCCCCTGGCTGTGTGACCCTGGGCAAGTGACTTCCCCTATCTAGGTGAGACAGGAGGGTGGGACAATCTGTTTTCTAAGACCCCTTTTAGATATCAAAGTCCCCATGGCTCTGTGGAGTCCCAGGAGAAGCCATGGAATGTCCCTGCCACCCTAGGGCAAAGAGCCAACCCTGAGTCCTTCAGTGGCCCCCTGAGTGTCCCCCCCCCCCCCCACTTAGTCCAAGCCCCTTCCCCATTCCTGCAGCCAGAGAGGGCTGCCTCAGCCCTGACAGGCCGACTGGCAGGGCTCCTATCTTCTTCAAGGCCATATCTACCCGTGCCCTGGGGCTTGGGAGACCCCCCATAGGGCTGGGCTTCTTGGGTCAGCCCGGCTGCTGGCATCTCCCTTCTCTGTTTTGTTCTGTATGTGTTGTGGGGTGGGGGGAGGGGGGCCACCTGCCTTACCTATTCTGAGTTGCCTTTAGAGAGATGCGTTTTTCTAGGATTCTGTGCAACTGTTGTATATGGTCCCGTGGGCTGACCGCTTTGTACATGAGAATAAATCTATTTCTTTCTACCAACCCTCCCCCTTGGGGCTATTTCCAGATATTGTACTTGGGGACGAGGGGAACAGAACTGGGGTAGGCAAATGCCCTTTAGAACTCCTTAGCTACTGGAGCCTCCAGCCCTTGTGTCTAGCCCCTCTTATAGGAGAGTCACAGACCTCCTGTGCCAGACTGTAGGGGCTTAGAGATATGGCGGCAGATGAGGAGACCTGGGCATGGAGCAGTGAGAGGGCATGTTGGCTGGCAGAGATTGTGGACTAGAAAGAAAAGAATTGAGGGGCTGAAGCAATCAAGGAGGCTGCCTGGAGGAGGCAGCCTAGAGCTCCTCCTAAACCCTCTGTCTTCTGGCTTGCTGGTCATGAATACCCATATAGCCAGGGCCTGGGCCTCTGAACCCCCTCCTTTCTTCCCTATCTGTGTCCCCATAAATCCTCCCCTGAGTCTGACTATACACCAGATGCAACCCTGGGTTGTGTCTATGGAGTTAGTTCCTTGCTCTTCTGGTTGTGAGAGTGGTTGCCCCTGCACAGATAGAGAGGGGCAGACCCCAGATTGGACCATAAGGAGGATCTGACTGACAGGCAAAAGTCTCTAAACCCACCCCCTCTCTCGCCTACATCCACCCCCCATTTCCTCTCCCTGTTCATCTCTTCCAGATCAGTAACGGTTGATATATTAAGGGCCGAACACTGGGATTTCCTTTCCTAGGAGATGGAGGAAAGAAGGACTGGGAGAAGATGATCGGGGCCATCCTGTGACACCTACAATGCCCCAGGTGCCAGCCTTTGGGACCACAGAGCCTATCTGTTTCTCCTGCTCCACAACTTGTCACTGTTTGGTATCTGCTCTTCTGGGCTATGGTCTCCAGGCAGCTAGCCTTCCCTTAAGAACTTGGGGTCCTGTCCCCTCCTTTGCCCAGCCCCTGCTTTGGGTTCCCCCCATGTGTCTCTGTCCTCTCACAGCACAGGACCCAGGCTGACCAGTGGACCCCCAGGTAGAGGCAGGTCAGTTCCTGATAGGGTCCAAGGCTGACAAGGGACGGACAGGGGACAGCTCTTGTAATGGTGCGCAGCTAACACCAGCATTGGTGTGGGTTGACATAGGTGCTCCTCTGCCTGTGACCACCCCCCCCCCCCCCCCCCCCCCCCCCCCCCCCGCCGCCCACTTCAAATGTGTGACTCTCTTCTACCAGCCCTTGAACAAAGGAGGAGCACAGACAGCCTGTGTGCACGCTTCAGGGACCTCACTCCCCTTCCCTGCATCTGTTGTCTGTCCCCAGCTCAACCCACACTTGAGGACATTTAATCCCACTTGAGGCCCTTGTGTGACACATCCTTTCTCACCACCTGAGTGGACAGCTCACAAGTCTTTCCTCGTGCATGCAAGACCCCATGCCAAGACCACATTAGCCAAGAGCTAATTGTGCTTGTCCCTGGTCTGGAGAGTCTAACAGCCTGGCCAGGAAGATCTGGTCATGGGACCTGACAACCCCATGGGATGCTTGGCCATGGGGCTCCAGGCAGGATTATAACCCTGAGAAGCAAAGTAGTGAGGTTTGGGAGATGAACAGGTATTGTGTTCCTGTGGGCAGAAGGGGCCAAGCACTCCTGGTGGAAGGAACTGCTCATTAAAGGCACAGAAAAGGGGAGTGACCAGCACGCAGGGAATGAAGAGACAGAGGGAAGTACAGCCAGACCAAGGAGAGCCTCGAATGCCAGGCTGTGAAGTTTGGCTTTACTCTGTGAGCAGTGGGGGGACAGCGAACGTTTTCAGTAGGAGAGTGACTTGGACATGCATTTTAGAAAGATCCTGCTGGAAAGTAGAGAAAGGACTGCAGGGTTGAGGTTGGGCAGGGATCATTCTAGAGCTGATGCTCTGTGCCCTGGGCTGGCTGAGGGAGGGAGGGATTCAAGACTTCATGGAGGTGAGGACAGAGGGAGGACTAGGGGGTGGAATGTGGGTCCCACGAACAGCCCTAGGTGGCTGCTCATTGCTACTCTAACCTGCAACCAGGTGTGGGGTGGAGTCCCTAGCAGGAGGTGAGCTCCTGGGGAAGAAGGAAGGAATAGCAGTTTGGGGCTGCCAGGGGAGGGGAAGGTTGGAGGAGGGGCGGGAGGATGAATGGGAAGACAGGAAGGAGGAGGGGGTCTGCACAGAGTCAAAAGGCAGGTCCCACCTGATCTGAAAACACTAGACTTAGCCCCATGGCTTCTTGTAGCTGCCCAGCCCTTCCAACTTAATGATTTCATTTTACATAAAACTTTCCAATGATTCTTTGGAGTAGGTACCATTATTTCATTCTGTAGCCAAGTAGCTTGCAGTTCACAGAAGTAATCCGCAAGCTTGAGATGTGAGCCCTGCCTACCTGAATCCCCTCCAATGGCTCTTTCTCTGGGAGAGAGGCAAGAGATTCAGGGGGTCAGAGTCTCTGTCTCTGTAGGAATGCGGTGGGGGGTAGGAGTGGTGAGCAAGTGGGTTGGAGCCCCAAAAGAAGGATCTGAGATCAGTTCTATGTAGTTGTGTTGTGGAAGTGGGAGGGGCAAGAGAAAAGAGGTGAAGTGGTTGGTGGCCTATAGTTAGCAGCTCATGGTCACCAGATGGCGCTCGATCCTTAACTCTCCTCACCTCCCCTGAGGTCTAAGAAGGGTGTGGGGGAGGGGGCGGGGGGGGCTCCTCTCCTTCCCACCCACTCATATACGCCCCTTTCATACTTACAGAGACACCTTCTCGCACACAGACATGCACACACAGACCCACACGCTCATTCTCCTATAGGCAGACACTTCAGTCTACACGGTCTACACTGACTGTACACAGTCTACACTGGGTACACTGTACAGACTTCATAGGGAAAATGGGAAATGTTTCTTAGGGGACTCCAAACTCCTTTAGCTGTTCACTGAACAGGACAGAGGCCTGCCAGTCTTACCTTAGTGAGGTCCCATGTCTCCTGGAGGTATCTGTTAAGTGGCCCCCCTCTGCGGAAGGATCCCTGGGAAGACAGTACCAGCTTTGTGATCAGGCATAGGTGGAACTCCTCCTCTGGGCGTAAAATAACTGGGAGACAGCACTGCCACGCTTGGTCCTGTGCTGTTGAAGCTGGAAAGTCAGAGCAGGAGCTAGCTGGAATATGCAGGGGCCTCAGGAGGAGGCTGGGCTCCAGGGTCTTGATATGTGGATGGGGGGGACCGGGACAGGAGGTGAGGTCCAGCCTGCAGATAGGCCAGGAAAGCAGGCTGGGTGGTGGGGAGGCGCAGGGGATGTGCCCAAGGCCTCAGCCCTCCCTCACTGCTCAGCTTCCCAGAGCTCAGTCCACTTGAGACTGTGGGGCCTGGAGGTGGGGAGCACAAGCAACCAAGGATGCCATGAGGTGGTCCAACAGCGTAGGGGCATGATGCAGGCGGACTGCAGGGGCATGCTGTTTTCTTAGCCTCGGCTGCAGTCTCCTGGAAGGAGCCCTGAGCAGGGAGGTGAAGGGGTTAGAGGCCTGAGCAGGAGCTGGGCCCCAGGGCAGTGGGGCAAGCCGCGTGTCCAAGGCTAGACTCTGGACAGTGCCTGGAAGGGAAGGGAGAGTGGGTCAACGGGAGAATGAGAGGAGGGAGGGGGAGGAGGCGGCATGTTTGGTTTGGGGAGGATCAAGAACGTGAGGGGAAGCCTCCTATCTGACAGAAATTCGCACTGCTATGTTCTCTCTCCTGAAACACAAAGCAAGAGTTGTCACCACACACCACATCCCTCCTGGACTTCCTCTTCTCTCATGGCAGGATGAGCACTCGGATTCTTCCTCTCTGGTCTCAGTTTTCCTGTCTACAAACTGGGATGATGAGGCCCCTCTGGAGGCCTTCAGGAGGGTGTGCTGGGAGGGAAGCCCACTCTACTTCTAAGGAGCTGTGTGTGAGTGAAATCTGCATATAGATGCTGTGGCCAGACTGTTCTCTGAGGGCTTACAAGGATGGGTTCGTATTGGAAGCAGAGTACACCATCCGGTGTGAAGATTGGCGAGACAGGTGTGAAAATGGGAGGTGCTGCCATTCCTGCCAAGATGGCTGCCACTCTCCATTCCCAAGTCATCACTGGAGAAACTGCAGAACTGAGGAACGTGGGAATTCTGGGAACTAACAAAATAGCCTGGGA